TTACCTCATTGGGTGATTTGACATGGAATGACCCATGCAATCTGTCAGTTGTGGTTTCTTGTTTAATTAACATGTTATCAGTTAATTGTATTTTCTTGGTAAACATGAAAATGGCTAAACAAAGAGAGAAGTGGGGGTGTCCAAGTTTAGATTTTGTTATTGATTCCATGTTGTTGGAAGCTTTTTTAAGTCTTATAATCCAATGGAGTTCGACGGAGCGCCTGTGGGCTGTGGATTGGTCCGGGTTGATCCCATGAAAATGGCTAGCTGTATTCTGGTTTTTAAATGCAGACTGACTTGTGTGTCTAGGTTAACATTCAATCTGTCTTGAAAAACTGTTGTATTCTTCTAGTTAAACAAGCAATCATTCAGTTTTATATTCTTTGTTAACATTTAATCTTTGAGTTGTGTTGTCTTGGTTAACATGGAAATGGTCAGCTGTTTTCTGGTTTAAAAACATGTAACTGACTGATATGTCTAGGCTAACATGTAAGCTTGTAAGTTTTACTGTGTAGTCTGTGGAATTCTTGGTTTTAAACCTGTCAACTGTCTATTGTATGGTTTCAATTAAATTATAATCTGTCTGTTGTCAAGATGCAATTTTAGTAACGAAAATGTTTTTAATTTCCTAAGAAAGTGATGCATCTATTCTGTGAACAAGAAAGGAAGGAACATAATTATGGAAATAAAAAATCTGACCTATGACAAAGCATTAAACCTAGTTATGGTAGAATGAATGAATTAATACAGGAAGTAGTAACTCATATTTTTTCCTGGAAGTCTGTAATATCTTATTGTTAGTCTTACACAATCAACTTCCTGTCACATGTCCTTGACATTTAACAGACTTCTTTCCTCAATTTTCAGATGATGTGTTTATTTTTTCCAGATTATTAATCCTAAGATGCCTAAAACTGGCTATTTTCACAATGGTGTACCAATTCCTGTACCGCCCGAAGATGTTTTAGGGTTAAAATATAGATATGATGAACAGGTCTACTTAGTTCTATTTTTTGATACCAAAAGAACATGGTAAGTTTGATGTCTTGTCATTCCAGGTATATTACCAACCTCTATTAAAAAATTTGAATTAACATACTACTGGTTGGCATGATTGAAATTGGTCTCAGGATATAAAACTAAAAGAAAAAGCTTACAATATTTCATCAGTAAAATATTGAGCGAATGGGCTGACAAAAACGTGCATAAAATCATTTAATTAAAAAAAATGAATTTGTCTATATTTGTTGAAATATTTATAAAATTTGATATTTTCAGGCAATGGCTACCAAGAAGCAAATTAGAACCACTAGGTGTAGATTCAGAATTAGATAAACATAAACTTTTGGAAAATAAGAAACCCAATGTTCGTAAAGCTGTTCAGAAGGCTTATGAGAAGGCTATCGTTCATAGATGTAATGTGAACGGTGAACCTAATCCATTATTAGCTGAGTCTAGTTCAGAGGATTGATTTGATTTTGAGTCTCATTGCATCCTTTTGAAATCAGAATCTAATGAAATTTAATATTTCAACCTGCATTTCATGCTTTAAAAGTTATTTCAATTTTGGGGTATTCTAATATTTGTATGAAACAAGGTATTCAACTCAGTATACTGTTTTATTTCAAACAAACAAAATTCTTTAAAAAGAAATAGGTTTTTTTTCTTAAATTTGAAAAATAACACCTCTTTGGTTTAGTAGAAGAGCAGAGAAATAGGGAGTTACTCATCTTAATATGAGCATTATAAGCTAGATTTCTGTTGCTGTCTCCTTTTGGTTCTAAAAACGATCATAACAGCTGATATTACCATTTAAAGCCATTTGCCTCTTGTAAACATGTACATTTGTAAATGTAAGTCATAATAAGAAATAGTTAAGTCATACCATTATTCATATTGTACATAACACTATTCATTCATAATTTATAACATTTACAATGTTTTATCATAATTTGTATAAAAATACATTTTTACCCAGTAAATTTGTGCATATACTTACAATAGAATTTGGCCAGGTATCAAATAAAAAATAAGGTGTACATATCACTGTATGTAAATATTCTGCATGTTCTACATTCACTATCATTTTATCATTTTAAAAACATTTCCATGGAATTCTGATGATGTTTGTAGTTTTTTTCTTTTTTTTAAACCATGTTTGCATTTTATTGTATTGATTTAAAGCAGTCTGATTCTGTCCTTTCATAGCTGGATTTTTGGGTACCCAATGTTCACTTGTGGTCCTGTGAAAACAGTAGACAAATGCCTTTGTCTCAATCTTTACAATGTTTCCCATCTTTATTTAACCAATGGGATCTGGGAATGGGGGTAAACTTCATTCAAGTTTTTAGAAAAAGGATTTCTTCTGTCACTATAATTTCATTTCTGATCAGTGACTTTACAACTTGGTGACTGTATTTTATTAATGTATCACATTTATATGTTGGAAGTTAAATCCAGCTGTATGAATATAGAATTTTGGTTTACTTTTGATCTACAGAAACACATTCATCCTTTCCTATTAAGTAAGCATTTTTATTATTACATCTTTTTGGGTGCATTTTCAGTAATATTTTTGGTTCTAAATTTGCCAACATAAATATTTTGCATCTGTTTAGATGTATGAAAGCATTTGCGTCTGATCCTCTTTCCAAAAGACTCAATCCCATCAGGGAACTAAGGTACTTTTCAAAACTTATATGATGTTCTATATTTTATGAGAAAAGCAAAATTGTCAAAGTTATTTGTAAGTCATCAAGAATTAAGTTTGTTGGTTAAATGTGGTGTAGAATTGTGTTATCTTTATCTTCAGAGTATCATACAGTTGTAGTGAAATGTTTGTAAACGTTTTGTTATGTTATCTATAAAAAGGTAAACAACTATTATTTGTTTACTTTAAATTAAAAATAAAACATAGTATATATTTGTTTTTTCTCTTTTGTTCCTTTGGGGTAAAGCTTGTGTTAGTGTTGCTATTCTAAAGTACATACAGAAGCAATGAGAAATCAATAAGTAGACTGCGAGTTTTAACCTAAATTACAGGAAAAAATCTGCAGCACAGAATAACAAGGAATAAAAATAGCAGATTTATCATAATTTACCCCAAAATGCAGTTCATTAATTCTTAGATAAACATGTTTTGCCATTTCACAGAACAATAATTTACGTAAGAAAAAAATATTTATGAGATATGAAGCTATGTTTTTGTTATGTGAAAATAAGCCAATGGTGTAATATACGTCATAACTCTACCAAACCTCAACTTGTTAACCTCGAAGTCGGAGAATTTCAAGTAAAGTAACAGACAAGACCAGAAATTAGAATATCTAATCGAGGTAAAAATAGATCTACAGATCAGACAGAAAGCCGAATGTCAGCCGGTGCCTCGTAATGGATTTATCATAGTTTTTAATGAATGAACGTGAAGAACATTTCTGTTCTAATAATATTTCGTTGTAGTACCATTATGAAAATTAACGATTTCTTTGATGGGCATGCAAAATTTAACTCAATATCTAAAAAAAAAACCTAAAAACACCAGAAGCATGGACAAATCAAACGGTGTAACCTCTGAAAAAACACCAGATGATGTGGTGTGACTTCTGAAAGACTCCATATGGTATGGGCTCCGACAGACATTCAATTGTATGACCTTTAAAAGGCAGGAGGTGTCGTGACCTCTGAGAGACTCCACATGGTAATGGTATGACTTCTGAAAACATCAGACATTAGATTATATGACCTCTGAAAAACATTAGATTGTATTACCTCTGAAAGACATTATATTGTACTGCCTCTGAAAGACATTAGATTGTATTACCTCTGAAAGACATTATATTGTACTGCCTCTGAAAGACATTAGATTGTATTACCTCTGAAAGACATTATATTTTACTGCCTCTGAAAGACATTAGATTGTATTGCCTCTGAAAGACATTATACTGTACTTCCTCTTCCCTTGAAAGACATTAGATTGTACCACCCTTGAAAACATTAGATTATATTACCTCGGAAATAAAGAGGTTAATCTCTGAAGGCAGTCAACGTCATGGCCGTTGAAAAGAGACATCGCGGTATGACCACAGTAGACACCAGTATTACCATTTAAAGACAACAGACGATTTGGCCCCTGAAAGATATCAGACTATATGACATCTGAAGTAAAAAACAAAACGGTGTGACTTTTGACAGCTGCGAGACGCTATTTCATCTGAGTGACACAAAAAGGTTATTTCAGACAATTGATCGTTGACTGTAGGGCCTTGAGAGATGAAATATAGCCGCCTGTATGCCTACTAGTAGACGATTGACCGTGTGACCACTGAGAGACAGATGGTAGACTGTATATCCACAAAGAGACTCAAGATGGTGATTGTATGATAATACCACAAAACAAGAGATACCAGATTGTTGACTTGACGGTATGATCACCGAGATATGGTCGACTGTATGAGAGATATAATACATTGTGACTGTATGATTACTTAGAGAAAATAGATGGTCGGCTGTGTCGAAACTAAGAGAGCATTGATGGTCAGTTGTATCTGTATGACCATTGAGATATAATATGTGGTTGACAATATCACTAAGATACAATAGATAGTTGAATGTAACCATTAAGATACAATAGATAGTTGAATGTAACCACTAAAATACAATAGATAGTTGAATGTAACCACTAAAATACAATAGATAATTGAATGTAACCACTAAGAGACAACAGATAGTTGAATGTAACCACTAAGGTACAATAGATAGTTGAATGTAACCACTAAAATACAATAGATAGTTGAATGTAACCATTAAGATACAATAGATAGTTGAATGTAACCACTAAAATACAATAGATAGTTGAATGTGCCCACTAAGATACAATAGATAGTTGAATGTAACCACTAAAAGACAATGGATAGTTGAATGTAACCACTAAGAGACAATAGATAGTTGAATGTAACCACCAAGAGACAATATATGGTTGACTTTATAACCACTAAAAGACATTATATGGTTGACTTAAACCACTGAGAGACAACAGGTGGTTGACTGTAACCGCTAAGAGACAGATAATTGACTTTAACCACTAAGAAACAATATATGGTTAATTGTATGACCACTAAGAAACAATAGATGATGGACGGTATGGCCGCTAAGAAAAAATATATGGTGGACTGTATGATCACCGAGAAACAATATATGGTTGACTTTAAGGTCACTGAGAAACAATATATGGTTGACTGCATGACCAGTAAGAAACCATAGATGGTTGACTGTATGACCACTAAGAAACAATATATGGTTGATTGTATGACCACTAAGAAACAATATATGGTTGACTGTATGATCACTGAGAAACAATAGATGGTTGACTGTAAGGTCACTAAGAAACAATATATGGTTGACTGTAAGGTCACTAAGAAAATAATATATGGTGGGCTGTATAACCACTAAGAAACAATAAATGATTGACTGTGTGACCACTAAGAAATAATATATGGTGCACTGTATGATCATTAAGAAACAATATATGGTTGACTGTATGACCACTAAGAAACAATATATGGTTGATTGTATGATCACTGAGAAACAATAGATGATGGACTGTATGACCACTAAGAAACAATATATGGTTGACTGTATGATCACTGAGAAACAATAGATGGTTGAGTGTAAGATCACTAAGAAATAATATATGGTTGACTGTAAGGTCACTAAGAAAATAATATATTGTGGGCTGTATAACCACTAAGAAACAATAAATGATTGATTGTGTGACCACTAAGAAACAATATATGGTTGATTGTATGATCACTGAGAAACAATAGATGATGGACTGTATGACCACTAAGAAACAATATATGGTTGACTGTATGATCACTGAGAAACAATATATGGTTGACTGTATGATCACTGAGAAACAATAGATGGTTGAGTGTGAGGTCACTAAGAAATAATATATGGTTGACTATAAGGTCACTAAGAAAATAATATATTGTGGGCTGTATAACCACTAAGAAACAATAAATGATTGACTGTGTGACCACTAAGAAACAATATATGGTGCACTGTATGATCATTAAGAAACAATATATGGTTGACTGTATGACCACTAAGAAACAATATATGGTTGACTGTATGATCACTGAGAAACAATAGATGGTTGAGTGTAAGGTCACTAAGAAATAATATATGGTTGACTGTAAGGTCACCAAGAAAATAATATATGGTGGGCTGTATGATCATTAAGAAACAATATATGGTTGACTGTATGATCACTGAGAAACAATAGATGGTTGACTGTAAGGTCACTAAGAAATAATATATGGTTGACTGTAAGGTCACAAAGAAAATAATATATGGCGGGCTGTATGATCATTAAGAAACAATATATGGTTGACTGTATGATCACTGAGAAACAATATATGGTTGACTGTATGACCACTACGAAACAATAGATGATGGACGGTATGGCTGCTTAGAAAAAATATATGGTGGATTGTATGATCACCGAGAAACAATATATGGTTGACTGTATGATCACTGAGAAACAATAGATGGTTGACTGTAAGGTCACTAAGAAATAATATATGGTTGACTGTAAGGTCACTAAGAAAATAATATATTGTGGGCTGTATAACCACTAAGAAAAAATAAATGATTGACTGTGTGACCACTAAGAAACAATATATGGTGCACTGTATGATCATTAAGACACAATATATGGTTGATTGTATGACCACTAAGAAACAATAGATGATGGACTGTATGACCACTAAGAAACAATATATGGTGGACTGTATGATCACCGAGAAACAAAATATGGTTGACTGTATGATCACTAAGAAATAATATATGGTTGACTGTATGGATGATTGGATACAAATAAACTTGTCAAAATAGAAGAGTATCCTGTTAGGTTTTTATTCGTGTTTTTCCTATAACGGTTGCTAATTGAAATTTGATACTATCTTAATAAAATTCGTCACTCTAACAAACAAGTAAAAGTAATAAGCTAGTTATCATACAGACAATCTGACAAACAACTCTCTATATTTGACAACCGATTTTAGCACGAGGAACTTAAATTTTGGTTTTGGTTTGTGGAATGATTCCAATGAAAGACCTTAGACCTCATGTCATTTCGCAATTATGCATGTCAAGTCCGACTTCTCGTTCAAAGCTTCACTATATTATGGCGCATTTTGGTGATAATTCACATTCGAAGGGTTACTGCCGACCTCTTATATGAAAGGTCTGAAAATTCGCAGGGAGGTTTGTACTGGTAACTGACCTTTTTTGTTTTGTTAATTAACTGATAAAAATCAGTATTTATAATTTAAAAGGTAATTTGATAGTGCTACTAATTATAAATATCTAATAAATAAACACTATATGTAAAATCATAGTCAAAAATATCATTAACTTTATCTTTTACTATAAACTAAATATAATTATCTAAAGCCACACCTAATTATTGATTTTCTTTATATCTTACTTTTACCCAAAATTATTTTCATGGCCATTTAAATTTGATTTGGGCGCCAAGAAGTCGTCGATGCTGTTGGTATTCCGAGAAACAACCTCCTCGGACCTATACTGAAGGACACAGGCATATCTTCATTGCATTTTATGCAAATGGCCACGATATAAATCGTAATGATGATCATAACAACTTTTCTTCTGTCAACTCAGCATTCTCTAGATGGATCCTCCTAGCCTATGTTTAGTTGATGAAATTTCCACTTTTAACTTTTACTGAAAAGCATAATATCTTAATTCAATAGGGCTGACAGGAGAGGTGTGAAAGTGGTTTGAAACCACAAGAAACTTCATATCATCAGTAAAGATATATGCGATTTAGTTTCTCGATACTACTGCATGTTGAACATCCTGTATCCAGTTGATGAAATAACAGACAGGCAATGGAAGTCTGCAGTTGGTATGATTTATTATCTATAAACCATCTCCTCCGACCCACAACCAGAATATTAAATGGACCATAGAAGTTTAATGAGCATAAGACAGTTGAAATTTAATATTGCCAATAAATAATTTGATATCCTTCTTATAACCTTCAACTTAAAGATTGCTATTAGAAATCAGATAAAAACTTTGATTTCGACCATTACATTTGGTTGTAGCTCACAGGACGTGATCGCGAGCTGATCTAGTACGGCACTTTTCTATGCACGTTACCCTTTTATCTGTGGATAGGGAAAATGACGTTCAATTTGCAGGCTTCACAATTTAATTAGGAAATATGGATTATATAAATTAGGAAGTCTAGTGAGATCTGATTTGTAACCCTGTTAAAGTTGATAAATAGTTGAGAAACATTTGATATACAGTTGCTAACTACGGGTGCTGGTTGAACCAAGTCAACAGGCCCCACACCTGATAGGTGCCCAAGAAAAAATGTACGAGACCATATTATGATAAAAAAAAACATTCCGGGTTAAGAAACCCACCTACCTGTTAACCTGCTACTGTTGTATACTGTTGTTCTCAGGGTCCAAGTGCACCCCTTGGGGAGAATTCGAAATTCTTCGGGAGTGAATTATATACACAAATGGGGGAATTTTGTGAATTTGGGAAATTTGAGCAAAAGTTCCAAAAACTCATCGAGCTTCAACATGACGCAGAACATTTCAGCAGAGCAAGCACTAGTTCACGTGGTTTGACGAAGAAATTGTCGAAAACTATTCATTTTTTTAGTTCACCAACACAAAACGTGCTGTAAGTAATTTGATGTTTCCAAATGGAAGGGGTGGTTGGCGAGAAAACAAATTCTCAAGTGTGGAAATGGATGATAAAGGTTGAGGAGAACCGTTGTATCACATTGTTCATTAAGCCGAAAGTCAACACTACTAAATGGTTATACAAGAAATACATTTCTATGCCATAAACCCTACACAGCAGAAGACATGATTTTGATAATTTTGTACAGCAATGCTATTATGTACAATTCAGAAGGCGCAAAAAACGGCTTTTCATCTGAGATAGTTTCATATGATAGCCATTCCGTCCTAAAACAAATTAGGCAACCTTGAAATTTTATCACAACTGTTTACAACTTTGGCTTGTAATTGATAATAAATACAAACCACTTTATAATGACAAGATTGTGTCTAATCAATTACTCATCTAACACCATTACTTCTACTACTGACTGACTTCAATTCATTATTCATGACGTCATCACCTCAGTATATATACATACCAGTAATTACTTTTCAAAAGATAGCTTGTCAGGCAAGGTAACATACGCCCACTGTCAGAAATGATAACAAAGTCTGTAATGGCTTAATAATGAATGAATCAAGGCAAAAACGTGAATCAGTTCATCAAATTATCATCAAATTCAAAACATGAACAATGTCTCATTGCTATACACAAAAGGGCAATAACTCTGAAACTGTTCATCATCCGAATATTACTAATTTCTAACTTGATCGAGATCATACATGCATACCATTTATACCATATCAATTTAAGAGCAATAACTCAGAAACCATTCATCCGATTATTACCAATTTCGAACTTGACTGAGATCTCATCAATATATATATGTATACCAAGTTCCATCAAGATCAGATAAAAACTTTAGTCTCTATTGTGCCTACAAGCCGAATTTGACGCATTTTCACTAAGTCAAGGGCAATAACTCTGAAACCAGTCATCCAATTAATTCCAATTTCGAAGTTGACCGAGATCTCATAAATATATACATGCATACCAAGTTTCATCAAGATCAGATAAAAACTGTAGCCTCTATCGCGCCTACAAGAAATGTGAACGGACGGACGGACAGGTGCGACGGCAAAATACGTCCACATTTCCATGAATTGGATAACTTTTTAGGAAGTTCTTTTTCTACAGACATGTCCTTGCATATCTTTAAATGCGTATTGGTCTAACTACTCAGCATAAAGCTTTCTCCGCATACCCTTATCGGTATACTGCCCAGTGCAAAGAAGCTACTATTGTCGCTTGTGACTTAAGTAGGGATAATTTTTGGGATTTCAATATAACAGCTTCTTTGAAACTGATGTATGGATAAAAAACCTTGAGAATTTCTTTAACGGACGATGAAAGTAAACATATGACGTCAATGATAAATTAGGTGCAACAGACGTAGAAACATAGGAAACGACAGTTGAATAATATGCATGTTAATATGTATCAATGTTAGAATAAGTACATTTCTGTTATTTCAATTAATATATTTTTTAATTATTTCACAAGAAATAAGCTTAGAGTTTGTTGACTCGTAAGAAGGTTATAATACTACAGTTCATTGAACCAGTGCCAGTTTTTCTTCATTTTTGTTACGTCATGTCAATTCGGTTTCAACAGTTTGTATGTAAATAATATTTGTTATGAAAATCTGAAGGTCACTCAATATATGCTCACATTCGAATGAACCATTGTCGATTTTAGTGGCAGGTCGGCTGAGTATCTCCTACTACAACGGTTCATACTGACCGAATCGGTAACGCCTAGAATTCAAATCTTTAGACTGTTACGCATGGTAGTCGATCACCATCTGTAAAGTATAGAAATTTATCACTGTCTAAAGGTATAGAAGTCTATCACTGTCTAAAGGTATAGAAGTCTATCACTGTCTAAAGGTATAGAAGTCTATCACTGTCTAAAGGTATAGAAGTCTATCACTGTCTAAAGGTATAGAAGTCTATCACTGTCTAAAGGTATAGAAGTCTTTCACTGTCTAAAGGTATAGAAGTATATCACTGTCTAAAGGTATAGAAGTATATCACTGTCTAAAGGTATAGAAGTCTATCACTGTCTAAAGGTATAGAAGTCTATCACTGTCTAAAGGTATAGAAGTCAATTACTGTCTAAAGGCATAGAAGTATATCACTGTCTAAAGGAATAGAAGTCTATCACTGTCTAAAGGTATAGAAGTCTATCACTGTCTAAAGGTATAGAAGTATATCACTGTCTAAAGGTATAGAAGTCTATCACTGTCTAAAGGTATAGAAGTCTATCACTGTCTAAAGGTATAGATATCTATCACTGTCTAAAGGTATAGAAGTCTATCACTGTCTAAAGGTATAGAAGTCTATCACTGTCTAAATCACTGTCTAAAGGTATAGAAGTCTATCACTGTCTAAAGGTATAGAAGTCTATCACTGTCTAAAGGTATAGAAGTATATCACTGTCTAAAGGTATAGAAGTATATCACTGTCTAAAGGTATAGAAGTCTATCACTGTCTAAAGGTATAGAAGTATATCACTGTCTAAAGGTATAGAAGTATATCACTGTCTAAAGGTATAGAAGTCTATCACTGTCTAAAGGTATAGAAGTCTATCACTGTCTTTAAGTATAGAAGTCTGTCACTATCTGAAAGGGCAACGTCATGTATTGGGCAATGCAGTCTACCACTATATGTAACATATAAAAACTGCATGTAAGTCAAGCTCTACCCATTATGTATGGTGGTCTACATGTAAGATTTGTGGTCTATTTCCATCTGAAACACATGAAAATCTATGAATTCTCGCAACGCACGGTAGTCTTCCATTACATATTACATCACTTTAGAGCTTAACAGTCTGTATAGGTTAAGTATTCTTATGAGGGAGTGTTTGATCTAAAAATTCTTCACTTTAAGGATGATGGATATCGTCAGTTCATGACTCAAATGACACTGGAATCACTACGTAATAGGTCAAAGATGAGTAAATAGTTGAGTCAGAGTAAGATAATAATACCGTTAGGCCTATTTGATGATGGAAACTCAATATTTAAAGACTACAAATAAAATGTCTA